TTGTATTTCTGTTTTAATTTTTTGATGCCTTGAGTATGCTCAAAAATTTTGAGCACTCCCATGGACATACATTGTATTTCTGTTTTAATTTTATGGTGCCTTGAGTATGCTCAAAAATTTTGAGCCATGTGGTGGTAAAATTTATCATATAATGCCAAATAGCTTGTATAGCAGGATTTATACAGCTTGTTTAGTAATAAAAAAGCATACAGATGGACGTGAAGGATTAAAAGTGTTAATTTTAAGCCAGTTTGAACATTGCATTTGCAAAAAACACTGAACCGTGTCTTCTCACACTGTTTTGTAATAACCATGGCAAGCGATCACTGAAAAACCATTCATTTTGTTCATCCTTATCCATGCCTTCATAATGTACATATTGTAAACACAGATATTTTGCGTGTTGATTAAAGTAAAGGAGAACCATACTTGYGTATTGYCTATTTATTGAAGTAGCTTCCAAAGTCCCTCTCTTAGGTTTTCAAACCAAAACAATTGAATTTTCGCTGAAGTTTGCTAGTGTTTAAAAAAATTGATAAACAACGAATGGCAGTTCATCCATTGGCATGCTAGTTTGGCTAATAAGACCATTCTAATTCATTATTTTCTAAAATGGAAAATCCCAAAATACTTTGGAACCGGTTATATGTGAAAATATCTTTACCATGTGTATTTAAGCTATTAGTTAGTTAGTTATAATAATAAAAAGCTTATTAGGTTGATTTTATGGATGATTATATAATAAACAAAATATTACATTGGCACTTGGAGATACGAAATTTATCTTCTCATGTTGAAAATCTCTCACTCGTTCGCGCCGCCCACTCGTGAGAGATCTTTTCAACACTCGAAATAAATTTCGTATCTCCAAGAGCCAATGTAATATCCTCTGTATATCTTATTTGGGTTTTTCCCGTATTTTTCCGAGTCCCGTAGGGACCAGGAAAAATGCGAGTAACGAGTAAAATATCATCCCATATTACGGGAAAAACAACCAAATAAGTTATTTATTATACAACATTAAAAGAAAAATATGTATTTCTCCCTTTTTGAGCGATTTTATCATTATTTCTTGAGTTTTCAGGGTCTGCGCGCTACCTTAAAAAAGCAAATGCCAGGAAAGCAATTGAGCTCCTTTAATCTTATTGGTCAATAGGCAAATTACATGACAACTAACATGGAACTCGTAAAACTACATATGATCTGTGTAAGAACACAAATTGCATTGATTCAAAATAAGTCTACTAACA